GAGTGAGTGAGTGAGTGAGTGAGTGAGTGAGTGAGTGAGTGAGTGAGAGAGAGAGAGAGTGAGTGCGTGAGAGTGAGAGTGAGAGTGAGTGTGAGAGTGAGAGTGAGTGTGAGTGCGAGTTTGGGTGAGTGTGACTGTGAGTGAGAGTGAGTGAGAGTGAGTGTGAGCGTGGGCGTGAGCATGGACACAATGACCAACGAGAAGGGAAACAAGAAGGGAGACAAAAGGAAACAGAAGGGAGACAAGACGGACACAGTGACCAACAAGAAGGGAGACAAGACCGGAGACAAGAAGGGAGACAAAAGGCAAGACCAGAGACAGAAGGGAGACAAGGCGGACACAGTGACCAACAAGATCAAGAAGCAGGAAAATTGGAGGCTTCTAGCCTCTTGCTGGAGGGTGCTTTCAAGCAGTTCCAGCAACATTCCCTCCACCAAATCGCCTTGGGCAACAAGTGTAAACACCTTCGCAATGTGTGGGTGTTGCAGTTTATAAAGTCTGTGGGCCTTGCTCAGGAGACATTCTCCATCCTTACCCTCCTGCGCAGGAGCCAAATTTGGTCGTTGCCACTAGGCCACCCTGGTCGAGCTTTTCACCAAGGGTCAGCGAGTCTTGCTGAACCCAAGGCAGCTCCCCTTTTTCCTCCGAAATTGCTGCTGGTGCTGGCAGCTCAGCTGCGCTGGAAATGCCAATGATCCGTTGTTCATTGCAACATGCTGCACACAGAACACGTCATTGACAAACGGTTGATTTGAAAAATAAACAAACCCAGAGAGGTTCAGAGACGGGAACTAGGAGCCTGTACCTGCAGTCACAAAGGGGTGCTTAATGGAGGTTAGGGGTGCCCATTATCCACCCACTTGGGGACTAAACACCACCCCTTTGTGACTCCAGGTAGTTGTGTATAGGATGGGCAGGATGGGCGACCCTTAGGGGTGTTCAACTTCTCTTGGCAGTCTCTGGCTTATGGTTTTACATCTCCAAACACCTGGGCACTCCAAGGAGTGGTTGAGTGGACACACCTTTAACCTCAAAGGCTCTAAGACATGATCTTTCAACAGGCCTTGGTAATCTTCCGAAAACGACGAGGTTCCGTCCAACGAACTGACACTCGAGCCAAGCATGTCTTGGGGTTCCCCCCAACGAACGACCCGCCACGCGCGGACCGGCCGCATGGCCAAGTCGGCGGAACCAGCGCCTCCAACGATGCAACCCATCAAGGCCGTCATGTTATTCTGGTCCCGAGCATTCACGTCAGCCTGGGCGGCCGGCCGTGGCGTCACCAGTGTAGAACAATTAACACCGCGTCAAGGGAGAAGAAAGTCCCGTGTTCCCAGGAGAACTCCCAGCTTGATGGGATGGTATATATGTATTTAAAGGAATAGGAACAAATAGATTCCAAACGGATGTCCTGGCTCCAAAAACCACGTGCGCAGTGGGCTGGGTATTCAAGGTGCTGGTATACCACCCAGACCATGCCATGTAATGGAATATACGCCGATCAAGCCCGATCCCCCAACCTCAACCACCCCTGGCCTTTTCTCGGTAAATATGTCACTTTTGATGGATGGTTGGAGCAAAATTTCATCAACAATATTTCCTGTCCCGACTGTTTCGGCGATTCGACTGGTGTAGCAAACTACAACACAAACAGTTATACAGCAAGGCAAATGTCAGACTTCTTGTGGGTAAATGGAGCAAAGTGCTTAGCAAGTGGTCCTGAAACATTCTGGAAACCACTTCTTTTCATGCACTCCCTGGCAAAAATCATGAGAACCGATGGCGGACCATGAAATCCTTCCAGGAGCCCCCCCCCCAGGAGCAGGTTCCAAGCATCATGTGCCGATGGCGGTGGACCTTGTTCATTCTTCACCGGCCCCCAACTTCCGAGCCTGGTGCTCCAGCAGCTTGCGACACGTCTCGGAGGCGCCTTCCTCCGCGGCAGCGCCTCGGTCGAGATGGAGGTGGTGGGAAGTGAAAGGCTTGACGAGAGGGTATAGTCCCTAAGGGTCCAGGACCATTCTCAGGAAGTACTAAGTACGACCTCCTCCACTCTTCAGCTGCCCTGGTTGTTTTGCCCTACCTCCCCCTTTGCCACCACCTTTAC